ACAGATAGTATTTTGTTACCACAGACTGAATGGACTAAGATTTTGATGAAGATACAAAGATGACTCAAGGGAGAAAAGACACTGTTTTCAACAAATAATATGGGAACCATTGGATATTCAAAAACAAAACATTCAAAAAATTAAGCTCAATATCTCCTGTCTCACATAAATTTAGTTTGAACTGGATTGTAAACTTAAAACATTAACCTATACAATTCCAGAATAAAACAAAGGAGAAAAGCTCTGCAGCCTTAGGTTTAGAAAGTTTTTAGACACAAATACTAAATGCATGATCCACACAAGAAGAAATTAACAAATGGAACTGCAAGAAAGACTTTTGCTCTGAGACAGATAACTATTAAAAGAATGAAAAGACAAGCCAAATGAAAGAAATGCAAACCTGCCCTGGAGGTTGTGGAAAGGATATCTCCTTCTGTATGACTCGGCTTGATGCCTGTCCTCATCCCTAGCTGCTATTTCTCCTCTGTACTTGGCTTGGGAGATGGGTAATTGGGAAGGTGCAGGTCTTACTTGGATGGGTAGATTCCCACTCTGAAGACCTGAAAGATGGCTCAAGTTCATTCTTCTGAGGCTCTTCAGCTGAACCCCTCCTCCTGTGACTCCCCTGGACTCAGACATATGCATCCACCCTCCAGGTAGCCACTTATGGAGGATCCTGCTGTTCACTTCAAGCTTCTTCCTGACAAACTGCAAGAAATAGCTTTTCTCCAGTTGATTCTATTGAATGGTGGGCCCAAGAGGACCTCAGATCACCTTGTTACTTACTCACTGTCTCTACTGTGTAGTGCCTTCTGACAAACACATGTCTCTGTTAAAAAAAATCTTGAGAGTGCTGTACATATCAATGCAGCAACACTCTCCAGTATCCAATGCAGAGGTGGGCTCTCTCATAGACCTCTAGTTTCCTACTTTAGAGAAAGACTCCAATCTACCCTCCTAGGCATGGTGTAGGCAGCAGTCTTTTGTATTCCTCAAACAAAGGGAATATTCCAAAGCTCCCCTAGAGGACTCTCTTGAAGCTCTTCTCACTTGACATGCAGTGAGAATAGCACAACCCTCTGCCCTCACCCCAAAGCACAGCCCACAGCCTTGGCTCCCTCCAAAGAACCACTTTATTAACCTCTTCAAATCCTCCCCCCTTTCCTTTTCAGGTCTTTGATCCTGCTGAATAATCCCTAGGACAAAGAATAGTTCCCATCTCACTTCTTTTGTAAATTATTCCTGAGGAAGAGGGTTTGTCTCACATGACAAATATCCTGATCTCACCTACTGGATCCTCTGTGAAAAATGAGGCAGAGTAGTAGTACTGCACACCCTCCAGGAAGACACAATGAGAAAGACAGAGTGGTGAATGCTAGAGAGGACAATGGACCAATTAAAATTTTCATAATCTCCTGTAAGGAGTATAAACTAGTACAATCTCTGTAAAATCATCTAGCAGGATCCACTAAAGCTGAATATATGCCTATCCCACGAATGAGAAATTCTACTCCTAGAAATCCACATCCAAGAGAAATGTACACATATCTTTACCTAAGACATTTGTGCACCACTACTTGTATTGGACAAAACTGGGGTGGAGACACAAATCCACAGTACAATTAATATATCAGTTGTGGTGCATTCATGGAATGGCATACTCTATAGAAATGAGAATGAACAAATTCACAAATAACAAGGAAAAATCTCATGATAGAGTACTGAATTTTAAAAGCCAGATAGAAAATATTCCTTATAAATAATTCCACTTATATAAAAATTTAAAAATTTTTAATCAACTCAATTATTTCAGACTTTTGTTGAAATATAGGATACCTAGGTACTTTTGTAGCACCTGTTTTCTTCCTCTATTGTCCCTCATGACAATTCAGAGTAGTGAAGGAAGTCACCCTCAACATATTACTATAAGAAAAAAAGACATAAAAATCAAATGTTGGCTAGAAATGGTTTTGTTTCACTATATCTCAGTCACATTTATTTCCTTAACTTGACTTCATTTTGTTTTTATTATAGGAAGACAGCTTGTCTTGAGGAAAAGTGGTTTCCTATTATGAATTTAAACTGTATAACTGTCTCTATGAGCCACAAGAGGGCAGCAGTTTCAAGGACCAGAGTTAGGAATATGGAATGAAGAAAACTATATTTAATAGAAGAGCTTGTGAAACAAATTTTAACTTATTACTCCAAGTTTTTAATTTATATTTTTAGAATTGGAGGAAAGTAAGATATGTCTTTCATGTAAAAAAATCTTGTTTAATTTTTGTTTTTCTCAATACAAATCGTGTAGATTTATGTGACATATGTGTTCTATTTTGATATACAAGTTTTGAATAAAATTATTTACCATAAAATAACAATTCACATATACATATAGACCCTGGTACTTTTTAAGTACTTTCATACATATAATGTTTTATATTTTTTACTTTATTAAGCCTTCTGAAATAGATGTGCCAGAAACTATGGAGTCCTTTTTATAGATAAAGGAACTAAGGCTTAGAAGTGAGTAACTTGTTCTAGTTAACACTAATAATAATTAGAAGAGGCAGAACTTCATTCAACATGTTTTTCAGTATTTTTCAGAGTTTTTTGTTAGACAAACAAAAATAATCAAGGCAACCTTTAGTTAATTCATGTATGAATTTAGAGTATTATCATTTTCATGGATCTCTGCTCTAACATAAGGTTAGTTTTATAATTATCCTCCAATACTGACACTTATATTAACCATTGTTATCATCTCACAGAGAAAATTAAATAGAAATGAAGTTTAAAATAAAATAAACAGTATTCCTAGAGATTAATGATTAGAAGAAAGAGGGTAGCAGATACACAAGTCTATGAAGGCTTGAAGTTACCTTAAACACTGTTACACCAAGTTGTAAACATTCCCACATCACTTGTTTTTTCTGTTACTGAAGAGATAAGTGTTTGTTAGGCCATGTGTTTATTTATTTCATCTCCAGTAAGTAGGGTATTATCTCATAGCTATTTAAATACACTCAAAATCCAACACTTAAACTTATATACAATTTGAGAGCATGACGTGAGTGATTGAACTCACAACATAAACCAAAACGTCATACAAGGGGGCCAGGTGCAGTGGCACATTCCTGTAATCCCAGTGGTCCCAGGAGACTGATGCAGGAGGATTTCTAGTTCAATGCCAGCCTCAGCAACTTAGTGAAGCCCTGAACAACTAGTGAGATCCTGTCTAAAAATAAAAATAACTGGGGATGTGAGTCAGTGGCTAAGTGGCCCTGGGTTCAGTTCCTGGTTAAAAAAAAAGTTATGTAAGGAAGTAAAGACAGAAAAAAAATCACTTAAAATTAATATTATGAATGATCATAGAAAAGTAAAAGACTAATTTCCTTGAATAAAAAGACCTTGTTCAACTGTAAAACAAATGACAGGCTATTTTCCATTGTTGCTCTGGGGTTTTTTGTTGTTGTTTTTTTTGTGTGTGCAGGTGTGTGTGTGTGTGTGTGTGTGTGTGTTACTGAGAATCAAGCCCAGAGTGCTTTACCCTTGAGGTAAATAAACCCTCAGCCCCTTTTATTTTTATTTTGAGACATGATCTTGCTCACTTGCCCAGGTTGGCCTGGAACCTGTGATCTCCTGCCTCAGTGTCCTGAGTAGCAGGCATTTGTCATTGCACCCAACCAAGCCTACTTTAAATGTTTAAAACTCTAAACAGAGGTATAGACACACACACACAGACACACACACACACACACACACAATGGAATATTACTCAGCTGTAAAGAACAATGAAATTATGGCATTTGCCAATAAATGGATGAAACTGGAGAGTATCATGTGAAATAAGCCAATCCCAAAAACTAAGGTCAAATGTTCTCTCTAATATGCGGAAGCTAATCCAACATAAGGGCAATGGGAGAGAGAAAAGGGAACAAAGGAGAGGGAATTTCATCAAAACAGAGGAAAGATTAGTAGATTAGACCAAGGGGACTGAAGGGATGAAGGAGGGATGGGTAAAGGAAGAAGAGTGCAATGAAATCTGACTGCACTTTCATATGTACATACATGAATACAGCACAGTGCATCCCAACATCAAGTTCAGACGTAAGACACTGACTTAAAAAAACAACACATAAATTGCAGAAATATCAGTAGAGTAAAGGGAGGAGAATGAATAGAGGGAGGAGGGGGGAAGTGCTGGGGACTGAATAGAAGCAAATTATATTCCCTGCTTTTGTGATTATGTCAAAATGTATCCTCTAGTGTTATAAATAACTAAAAAGAATCAGTCAATAAATAAATGTTAAAAGATGTATTGTTATGAATTGTTATGATATAAATGAAAAGGGTAGGGTGAGGATTACGAGATGACAAATAGTATATCCAAGTTATATTGTCAGTCACAAAACCCTTGAGTAGTTGACATTTGTCCTGGGATTGGAAGATAGGTCATTGGGAAAAGGTTTCAAGAAAGGCAGAGGTGTGTCTGTCACCCTTTTTCAAGTAACTGAAGCTTTTCATTTATCAGTGACTAACACACATACTGTAGAAGAAATAGGATATAAATCATTCACTATTATTATTATTGGGGGGTTTAAAAGGTATCGTTGACACCTTCTCTAAAGAGCACAGTCACAGGATGCTGGATTGAGGGATTTAAACAGCTCACCTCTGAGTTCACAAACTGCCCAAAGCATCAGAAAACCAGGTGAGACAGTGCTTTCTCTCTCTCTCACGTGAATAAGGATCAAATGACCCAATATACCTAAACTATATAGTTCACACAACAATATGCACATTTGTTAGCATGAAAGCATTTTTAATGTTGTTTCGGCCTTAATTTCTGTCCCAAATGTAAGATAGTATTCATCTAACTTCAGATCAGATTCCCAAGACTTCTGCCTAACATGCCTTTCTTTTGTCTTCAGTAAAACTGTTTACCTATTAATGAAAAATTTCTAAGTTAATATTTTATTCAAAACCTATGACAAACTTACAGTTTAGTGCATTATAAAGAAGTTCAAAGTCTTCATTTGTTTTAGGATTATGCCTCCGGTGATAGTCCAATTGCGTCCATTCTTCTTTTTCTTTTATTTTCCGTAGTTCTTCCTGGGCTTCCCACTCCAACCTCAACTTTTTCTGTTCTTTTAGTTCCCTTACAAAGACTTTAGCATGCCATTGCCTGTAGCGAGTCTGTATTACTATCGCCTGTATTTAAATTAAAAGAAAATAAAGTGCCTGCCATCAACTTTTTGATCAGACAATAAAGAAAGGCAACAATGATTATTTCAATACCAATTCAGCAATAAAACAGTGCTGAGTCTGATTTTAGTTCCGTGTTAGATATTCTTACATATACGAACATAGAAGCCACAGATAATACATGTCACTGCTATTTGTCTTATAATCTAGCAAATACACCTTCATAGAGGCTGTTAGTATAATGCTTAAGAGCACAGACTCTGGAGTTAGACTTAATTGGAAATCCCTCTCTGCTACTTAGTAAGTAGATTTATTTGGGGCAAGTTGCTTGCCATCTCTTTACTTTAGGACTCTCATTTATAAAACAGTGATAACAGTATGCTTAGAAAGTGCTTAGCCTCCCAGGCATGGTAGTGCATGCTTGTAATCCCAGATGCTTGGGAGGCTGAGGCAGGAGGATTGCAAATTCAAAGCCAGGCTCAGCAACTTAGGCCCTGTCTAAAAAAAAAAAAAAAAAAAAAAAAATTAAAAGGGCTTGGGATGTAGCAAAAAAATTAAAAGAGCTAGGGATGTAGCTTGGTGGTTAAGAGTGCCCTTGAGTTCAATCCCTGGTGCAAAAAAGAAAGAAACAGCTGGTACATCACATTACAAATCCTCAATTTATACTATAATTTTTATGAATTTTTGTTATTTCTAGCTCATCTTAATTGCCATAAGCTAAGGCACATATTTAAAACAAAACTATATTTCCTAAACACATACAGGTATGTGTGAAAACCAGCAAGGATTAGATAAAAGAGAGACATAAAGAAGAATTAAATTATATGAAATGGAAACATATTTGGCAGTATTCCATATTATTAACCCCTCAAAACTTCATGATATAACAAAGTTTTATAACTTTATTTATAAATTCAAATAAAATGTGGGGAGTTTGCAACAAGATTGAGGACAAAACATATGCTGGCACATTTCTTTCCCGCTTCCTAATGTCTGATAATTACAGCAAAATGTGTAAAACAGAAATCAATAAAGTCTATGGATCATACTGAATGGGTCACCCAAGGGAATAGAAATTTTAAAGAATCCCCTCAAGCAAAGAGACAGATGGAACATACTAAAGAAGGAATCTATAGCCTAGTCGCGCACTGGAGAGGCAAGCTAGAAGACAGACAAGTGGCCCTGGAACTGCTTCATGCCCCAAACTGGCGGATTCTCTGAGCAGAAGGGCAGCCAACCCAGTACCTGCCTGAAAAATGCAAATGGGACATGCTCCTATTAAACAATTTAGGTAAACAGCAACAGAAATATGTATCCCTAGGCAAGAGTGGTTAGTGTGCCCAAAGGCTGGTGAGACTGAGGATGTATAGAAACGCCCTATCCAGAAAAATAGCTCCGTCCCAGAATCAAGCCTTATACTGTAAAACCACTGGGATTAGAAAGTGCTGTTAGCACATTGCATATTAGCAAATTAAGTTCCAAGTTTCCAATTCTGTGAATATTTAAGTGAAATTAACAAAGGTGAATTAAAATAGGTTGGAAATCATAACCTAGAACATTTATTTTATTATATTAATTAATATTATTACATATGAGTACTATAATTATATTATTATCTAGTTATGTATTATATACTATATTTAAGTTTTTATAGGTATTACACATCTGGGATGATAGAACAAAATGAGTTAAAAATTTCAAATCTTCTGAGAGTAGATACCCCAGACTAACCAAGCATTTGAGAAGAGCCAACAAAATAAAAAGCCCCTCATCCAAAAGAACAATTTATTCTTGCTTGAAACAGAATTAGTAGAAGAGTAATTCTCAAAGAGTAGTGGGAAGACCAGCAGTATAGGCATTATCTAGAAAAGTATCAGCAAGCAACCAGCTTCCAGCACCCTCCCCCAGCCCCTTGCCCAGCAGATCACAACAACTCTCCAGGGGACCTGGAAGCTGAAGTTTCAGAACCACTTTATTAAAGTAAAATGAAACAGAAAACAAGACTAAAAGTAGTTAATGTTTTCGGTGTAAAATTCCATCAGTATAAAACAAGATTAAAAACAAAAACCAAAAAAGGACTGTGGAAAAATCTTTACTTTTGAAAATTAAAAAAAAAGAAACAATAAAATATGTGTCAATTTGTGTGGTTATTAAACTTTTAAAATTTATTAAAGACACCAAAACAAGATTTGTTTAAATAACAGGAATTTTCCCCTCTCGTATGTCCATCTGGTCACTGGCGAGCAGTTTAGGGCCTCGCAGTTTAGGGCTGGTAGGAAAGCTCTGCCGCAGCAGTTAACAAATTGCTTCCTACTTGTATGTCTCACTTGGCTGATCCACTTATCATCATCTTCCAGCCAGTAAATAGTGGGAAAGGAACAAAGAACACTTTAAGAGCAACTCCTGGAAGTGCCTCATATCACTGCCCCACAGACCCTGTTGTCTAGACTTTAGTTACATGCCCCCGCCCCTGATTTACAAAGGAGCTAAGAAATGTCATCTTCTCTGGACAGCCATGTGCCCAGTTAAAGCTTCAGTACATGGGAGAAGGGAAGAAAGAATATTGGCAGAGATTTGTTATAATCTGATCTGCAGAATGTAGAGACTGAGAAGGAATTAATAAGCAGAAACTTAGGTGAGAAAATCTTTTAGAATGCAGAAGGAAAGGTCACAAAAGTTAGAAAGCAATGAAGAGAAAATCAGAAACATGAAAGATAAATCCAGTCATTCCAAAACATGTCGGATACAAGTTACAGACAGAATGAAGAAATTTGATTACAGAAATTACTCAAAATAAAATAGAAGAACATTTCCCAAAGCAAGACATGAGTTCTCAGAAAGGGTCCACTACCAAGTTTCAAAGGCAGCATGATAACATTACAAAATACTAAGGATAAAGTGAAAATCCTAAAAGCTCATAGAAAGAGGAAACAAAGAAATTAGAATCAGATCAATATCTGACTGTCAAATATAGCTTCAAAAGTTACAAAGGAAAATAATTCTGAAAATAAACTTAAATCTAACCTTTCATACCCACTCAAATTAAAACCCATATATGAGGTTCATTCAGTAAGGACTTACATGGTTCATTCCCTATGCATAGTCTCTGAAGGAATTACTCAAGAATGTGTTCCAGCAAGAATAATAAATTCAAGCAGGAAAATTAAAGCAGGGAAAAAAGGCTTCAAAAAGACTTATGAAACTAAATATATTTTATTCAGAAAAACAAATATATGTATCAAAGCAAATATTTAAAATAACAATGTAGAATTATAATTATATTGTAAATTATATTTACTTATAATTCTAAATCCTCACTGTATAGGAGGAATAGGGGAGGAAGGAAAAAGAAAGGAAGAAAATAAATGCATATTAAGATTCTTGTTCACAGAAAGGAAATACAGCAAGATTACCCATGCATTTGGCATAAAAATAAAACAGACATGTTTAACAATTTTTTATTAACTAGTAGAAAATGCATATTAACATATAAATTACCAACTCTAAATTATGAAAAAACAAAAACATGAAAAAGCTGATCAAGCCAACAAAAAGAATAAACAAACAAAAATGATTAGTAAATTAACAAGATGAGATGGCAGAAATGAATACAAATATATCAGCCACACATAATATAATCTTGCTTAAAATAAGAACTATTAAGCATTGAACTCTAAAACCTTTTAAAAAAAATAAAATGAACATGACCCAAGTGGAAAGGAAATCAATGAGGATAAAAGGACTTATTAAATGGAAATTGACTCCTCATATAGCCTTTTAACAGTTCACGGCCCACTCCTCACTTTGACCTCCCACAAAATCTCCAACCCACCTTCCAAGACCCTCTGGGGCCAATGTATGTGGGTCTTGATGCCAACCCTCTTGGCAGGCATTTAGATTTTAACTGCTCTAGTAAGCCAAGTTACACACTCCATTTGCTTTACAACTTCAACAAAGTCAACTGATATTTACTCTTCTCTTTTATATTCTTTGCCATATATATATATGAATTTTTTCCCTTTAATATCATTTTATTGGCATTTGGAAAGTAGTACAGAGAGGGCTACTTCTCTACCTGATATCCTATGTCCTCTATTTCCTCCTACTAAGAAGATCTCAGCTTTCTGGAGGAACAATATACTAATTAACAAATGCATTTAGCATTTACTCCTTTGGGAGGGACATCACAGGACATGGCTCAGGCCAATGAATTGAAAGCACATGTCACTGGGTAAAGTTTTCAGGAGGAGGGCACATAGGTCATGCTCCCTTGACTTCCCTCTTGTTCCTTCACAGAATGCAGATGTGATGAGAAGAGTCAACCATTTTGTCACCATACAATAATACTCTATGCATGGTGAGATTGTAAAAGAGTGGGAAGATAATTGGAGTGCAGGTTCCTGAGGATACAGTAAATTACCATCCAAAACCAGAACAATAAGAAAGTAAAAATTAGTTTGGACCGAGAAACGAAAAAACACATCACTGTAATAAGTGACACTAATCAAGACAGCCACAAAGCTAACAGGAAACAATATTTCTCCCAAGGATGCTCTGCAGCTATAAAATGTCATAGCAATCCCTCTTTCTTTGAGTAACTATTTTCTTACTCACTGACAGACTTTCTCCTCTCAAATCATAAACTCAAAGAAACTTTATTGCTTGAAATTAGATCAGTAAGAACAAAGCATCCCAGTGTTGTCGAAAAGGCTCTAAATCACTTTGACAGGGAAAGGCAGCCTTGATTTTCAACCACGGGTGCTGAACTTGGAGAACTTCATAGATAACTTCTATAGCTCTTTTAATTTCATTCCCAAGAGAACAGAATCCTGGTTCACCTTGCAATCCAGACCTTGATGTTGGCCCACTTACATGCTTTAACAGTTTATCAGTTATATTTGATACATACACACCAATTTTAGACATTTGTGTGGATGTTGTATGTACAGCCTTCCTGTATACAGAAGATGAAGAGATTACTTTGCTTAAATTCTACCTGCATTTCAATTTCCCCTGAAATCTCACAACTCTATCTTTTCCCTTGTTGGGTAAATATTAATTTAGATTAAAAACAAAAACTCATCAGGCTGGAGTAACTGGGACTGATAAACCAGGTTCAAAGATTTCCCTGCAGTGAGTGGTCTCCCTCAGGATGATGACTCCACAGACTTGACTTTTTTGTATTCCAGGTCTGTCTCTCAAAATAATGCTAGGAGGTAGATCCAACTATATGCTCTCTATAAGAGATCAAATAGGTTGAAAGTTAAAAGGTGAAAAAAGATGAATTGTATAAGTGATACCAGTTAGAGTGGCTAACTTTCTTGTGCACTCTTGTTCTATTGAGTTTCAAATAGTCTGGCAAGCTCCCTACATGATTCTTCTGTGACAAGGAAGGGTTAAGGCCAAGGGACAGAAGTGTTGAGGAAGCTAATAATGGCCAAAGGTACCTGAGAGTCCCTAAAGACAAGGGAAGGGTTAGGAGCACTTAGGGTCTGGGTTGCTTATACAGAGGGATATTGGAGATAGGTCTGCATTGACTATCCATGAAACATGACCCATACACATATGGGTTCTTACTCAGGCTGGTGTGGCTTAGGAAAACACACACAGAACAACTGGCTTTATATATTTAATTTTTAGTATTTATTCACAATGAAATTATCTTACCGCATTGAATCTTCGAGCATGGTATTTTGCTGCTGAAAAATAATCCCCTGGTTTTAACAGTTTATCAGTTATATTTGATACATACACACCAATTTTAGACATTTGTGTGGATGTTGTATTTGTAGTTTGTTGGAGCTTTTTTCTCTGAGAAACTGTCTAAAGTAAAAACAAAACATTTAGGTAAGTATACATACTTAAACATACTATAAACACTGACTGTGAAAATACACACATACAACAGAGAGAATATTTTTCTACTCAGTCCAGTAAATTTTGCTTTTACTATCTTAATTGCCACATAATAAATGAGGAGAATTTGAGAAAGTCATATAGTATACAACAATTGTTGATTCCATAGTTTCAGAAACCTAAATGGAAAATTAAAAATATTACCTGGGTGTCCCTGGAAAATGCTTGTTTTTTCCCTCGGATATATTTAGGTACAGTTTGGGTTCCAGCATTGTGATATTCTATTCCTGTTATTTTATGCTTAAATCCACCAAGAAATGGCTTATGAAAATCAGACTTTATAATCTCAACAGTTACCACCTGGTACTGATTAATGCCTAAGGAGATAAAAACCAAGACTGAATGGAAGTTCAGTTACAAAGGAAAACTAACATAGTTTATCTGAAAGACATCAAATAACTCACCAATTTGTACAGTGACAGTTAGGATTTGAGAGACATCATTTAATCCCTCTATCCTTTTGATTGGATATTGATCTGGATTTGTAGAAAAGAGTTCCAGTTGTATAATTTCCTGTGGCTTAACTCCATGTTGTATTAAAGTCTCATTATTTTTAAAAATTATTCCTGAAAATTTTTAAGAAGTTTTATGACAAAAATGGCTATTTTTGTTGTTGTTTTAGTTATAAAATAAAATTATATATGAATAGATAGTGTATAACATGAATTTCTGATATATGTATACATTGTGAAATGACTAAATCAATCTAATATAAGTATTACCTCACATAATTTTTTATGTGTATGGTGAGAACACTTAAAGTTTATTCCCTTAGAAATTTTCAAGTATACAGTGTACGGTTATTAACTATGTAGTCACCATGATGTACAACAGTCTCTAGAAATGGCTAATCATATGTACTCATTTTAAGGTGATGGAAAATATCCCAGGTGCTTGTAGGAACACATATCACTTAATCACTAAATATAGTATGAATGTTTTCCATCTCTTGCTGTAATAATAGTACAGAAAATACCATAACAGTGACTATAGTTCATAATAACCTACTATATATTTTATGAAAACTAAAAGAGAAGAGCTTAAAGCCTTTGAATACAAAGTAATGATAAAGAAATGGAAACATCCATTACCCTGATTTGATTAGTACACAATGTGTGCATTTTGAAGCATCACACTGTTATCTCATAAATATGTATAATTTTTACGTATTAATCAAAACAATTTTAATCTTTAAGGAAAAATAAATGTTGCCTGATTTGATCATTATACATTCATTGTATACACATATTAAATTATCACACTGTACCCCATAAATATGTATAATTAAAATAATAATTAATAAAAAATAAAAATCAAATTTTACAATAGGAAGGATTATAGCAGCATTCCTGTTCTGAAATTCAGCATTATAAATAAAACTACAATTCTCATGTCTTCAGATATATAAATATAATAATCATGAAACTCTATAGACATTTAAAAATAAAAGCATTCTATAGCATGAGCAGAACCACATACTATAAACACTGACTGTGAAAATTCACATATATTATATGTAAATATTACACATATCCATTCCAGGGGAAGCATAATTATTTTAGTACCCATTTCACCCTCTGGTGTTTATAAATATAGACTCGGAATTCTAAATAATCCCTTCCTGTCTCTCCTACCATAGTCAGAAACACACATAAATTAATGCCAAGGTGGAGACTAGACTCACTTTTGTACTGAAAAAAGTGAACTTTGCTTTATTTTTGTTGTCGTGGTTGTACTACTTTATCTTCTTCCCTCTCTCTACTCCACCCTGCCATTGGTATATTTAAAAAATTAACTGATCACATTTCTCTGTTTCACAGCACATGAAGATGCAATAATGTTATGTTACTGGCTGCTGTTTTGTCTCATGGAATCTTCATTGATGGAATCTATCAATCTTCAAATGTATGGTCTTCCTCAATTACAATTTTGAATTTGAACATAACAAAAGCTATACCCACAAATATATCAGACAGCACAAAACTACTTTGGCTATATTTGAGAAAACACACTCAAAGATTTGTGAATTTCAATTTCACATCCTACATTCTTAATTTTTAAAATTAACTTGAATGTCATATGGGCTTTGTTGAATAATAGCCCCAAATTTGTCCACATCATATTACCTTTATAGCAAAAGTGACTTTGCAGATTTGATTAAGGATTTTAAGATGCAGCGACTATCCTGGACTATCTTATTGAGCCCTAAATGTACTTATGTGTGCCCTTGTATAAAAAGAAAAAAAAAAAAAGATTTGGCTACAGAGGAAAAGACAAGACAGTATGACCAAAGCAAAGAGAGAGCTGCATCTGCTATTCTGTGGCTCTGAATATGCAAGGAAGCCAATGAACCAAGGAATCCAAGGGATGCAACTCTAGAAGCTGGAAAGGCAAGGAGGTGGATTTTCCCCTAGGGCTTCCAGAGGGAGAAAGGCCAACTGAAACGTCAATTTTATCCTAATGAGACTGATTTAAGATTTTTGGCCCCCAGAAATGTAAGAGAAATACATGTGCTGCTTTAAGCCACTAAGTTTGTGATTAATTGTTACAACAGACCTAGAAAACTGATACAGGTTCCTAGAGCTCTGGTTTTTCCTCCATTTATTTCTTTAGAGAGTGCAGTCCCATGAAATTTGAGGTCCAGTTCCAGTCCGGGAGAAATCATCTATCTTAGAGGATGGCTGGCATCAAATCAAGCTGTTCTATAATTGCTGCTAACATAAACCTATTACTCAGTGATAATATCTGGTACTTACAAAGAAGAAAGGTGAAGAGGACAGGGATCCCTAAGTACCTCTGGCCATCTACTACAGTCACAAAGTGTTCTCTTCTCTAACTTTCAACTTTACCTTTGAGTTAATGCCCAGCAATTGCTACTTCCCTCTTTGGAGTTATACCTCCAATTTCAGTTCAGACTCTGCTACTTATCTGTCATGTGATTTTATAAAAAAAATGTTCCCTGAGTTTCAGTTTCCTTCTCTCAGAGAAAGAGTTAATAATACTACCTACATCAAAGGGTTGCTGTGTGGATTAAATGATAATGTAGGCAAAACATTTTGCAGACATACTAACACATAGTAAGGGTTCAAAAAAATAAATTAATCATGATGATCATTATTATTATTATTACTAATAATTATTTAAACTTTAGCCTTGTTTCCTTAGTCGGGCTTTAAATGTGCTATTTGCACAAATCTTACTTTTGGAGTATATACATTATAAATTGATTTTTTAAAAATTGATTTTGAAACTTCTTTTTTCTCTGCAAACATTGTGTAGCATCTTTATAAGTCAATACCAAGACTTTTAAAACTAAAATATTAGAATTTGTTCAGACACATTGTATAAAAATACACTTTTCACTAGGTTAGTCTGGTTCTCTATCACAGTTACAAAGACTATGTCCAATCATGATCAATCATGATTCAAGACTAATATAACTTCAATGGGGCTTCTCAATATCATCCACAAAATATAAACAAACCAGACATCACAGGAATGACCTTAACATATACAATATTCAGATACCATTTTCAGTCTTCTTGTTCTATACATTATCCTTCATCTTATTTCTTCAATCTCAACTCCTCCCATCCCACATACAAAATCTACTTCCAGCCACTCAAAATGTCTTATCACTTCCTAAAAGCTCCAGTTTTTCTCATCTCTTTGGGACTTAGCACAAATATCATCACCTTTATGAATTGAAACATTCCATAATCTCCCAGATTTCTTCCTTCCTATTCTCATAGCTCTTTGTGCAGATTTCCAATAAAGCATTTGCACATTATATGGAAACTCTTGCATGCAATTCTCCCCCTTACTAGTCTGCAAGCAATTTGAGAACAGGAATCTTGTTTCATGTTTCTCTGTTATCCTTCACTATCTGCAAAATATCTAGAATCAAATGTCTTTAATAAAAAGGAATTAAATGAATAAATACATAACCACAAGTTAATGCTAAAATAGTAAATATGTAGATATTTAGTTTAAAAAAATCAAAGGTCTTGACTGTTTACATACTAAAACAGGAGAAATCTTAATAAGTTCATGAACCTTCAAACTTACCTTTGTAACTTATCTGCAGTACAGAAGGTGGGATATGTAATAAGTGTGAAAAGTGATCCTTGAGGTGTTTAAAAATAGTGTCAACTTTAAAAGGCATTATAATTTCCTGGCCCACAGGAATAAGTACAACTCTTACTAAAGATAAAAAGAGAAAATAAATAGGCATCATCAAATATAGCAAGGGTCAGTAACCTACACTCCACAAACAGAATTATGGGCTGACTTTTAACTGTGTGAAACACAGGTTATTTCTTCTATATTTCCCCACCACACCACAATGATATCTAAAGAGAAATGACCAACACTGAGCTACAACCTTAGGCTTTGAAAATTAATCCATAATCTCAAAATTTTTCATCAATGTTCACCACCTATATTATGACTTAAGTACAAAAAGTAGCTCTAAAAATCAAGCATTTTTGTTTAGTGAGTATAAGAAAATGAGACCTTGAAATAGAAAGGTTGTCTCAGAACCTGGAAATGCATTTGAACTCCCCATTGTAACTACTTTTCACAAAAGTTTACATTGTATGGCTCACAATCCACCCTACAAAATAGGAAATCAAGATGCTGTTGAGTAAGGCAAGGTGGCACATGCCTGTAATTCCAGTGATTTGGGAGGCTGAGGTAGGAGGATTGCAATTTCAATGTCAGCCTCAGCAATTTAGTAAGGCCTTAAGCAACTCAATGAGACCCTGTCTCTAAATAAATAAAATATTAAAAAGGGTTGGGTATATTGCTCAGTGGTTAAGCAACCTTGGATTCAATCTCAAGTGCAAAAAAAAAAAAAAAAAAAAGAGGGCTGAGGTTGTGGCTCAGTAACAGAGCACTTGCCTCTCTTATGTGAGGCATTGGGTTCGATCCTCAGCACCATATAAAAATAAACAAAATAAAGATATTGTGCCCATATATAACTAAAAAGTTTTTTAAAAGATGCTTATGTGTTAAAAATTAAAAACTTATCATAAATGATCATGTATTCACAAATTATGTGGAATAGGTATATTATAAATTATTTTACCTTTATAGACTTTAACTTTTTGTTTCAGTCAGCTATTTTGCCACTGTGACTAAAAAACTAAACTAGAATAATTGTGGAGGAAGAAAAGTTTATTTAGGGGCTCACAGTTTCAGAGGTCTTAGTCCTTAGAAGGCCAGCTCCATTCCTCAGGGCTTGAAGTGAGGTAACATCATGGAGGAAAATTGTGGCAGAGGGAAGCAGCTTACATAATGATCAGGAAGCAGAGAGAGAGAGACTCCACTTTCCAAATACAAATATATACACTCCAAAGCCATGCCCCCAATTCCCATCTCCTCCAGCCACATCCTACCACTTCAGTTACCACTCAGTTAATCCCTATCAGGGGATCAATTCACTAATTGGGTTAAGATTCTCAAAACCCAATCATCTCTCTTCTGAACATTCTTGCATTGTCTCACACATGAGCTTTGGGGTGACATTTCACATCCAAACCATAACATTTTTAATAGAAAGGATGCAATAAGTAATCATATTATAGGTCAAAAAACTTAATATTTCCAAGACAGTTTTCAAAAAGCTGAGACATTTATCAAAACTCCCATGGGAAAAAAATCTAACTAGGCATTAGTCATATTAAGTTTCTTTAAACTTATTAAAAATTGTTCTCACAGTTCTCTATGAACAAAAGAAACACTTTCAGATACCAAACAGAACTTATCAGAAGGCTATTTTGTTTCTTGGTGCAAAAAGCTATGGAATTGCCTTACATAGCTATAAACCAGATTTTTCTAGTTTCCTAATGTGTTTAAAATTTTAATGATTTTGTGTTTAATGTATTTAAAAATTTTAATTAATTTAAAATTTAAAAAATTTTAATTAATGATTAATGTTTTAATTAATGATTAAGTGGATTCTTAAGTTTTGGAATGGGTGGTATATTGAGGGAAGCTTGATAAGTACAGGGTCAAAACAACTTTTTAATTTTAAAAACTCACCATGTTTTTAAGTTACAATATCAGGGAATTATAGAAACACCAAAAATGGAATCCAAATTTACACTAAATAATGAAATTGAGAGATACTCAGTTCTATTGTGTATTGTATAACATAATTAGTTTTCTGAACATACCACACAGGGTTAAACAACCCACTATAGTCAAAACTTACATTTTACCAACCAAACTGCTATTGCTATTATCATTATTAAATGACAACCCATGTTCTCCATCCTATGAGTGGAAACTCTCAAAACACATGAACAAGGAAAGAAAAGGCAGTCAGTTAATGGTTTTCTGTGTAACTACCTTATTACTTCTCCCCTTCTCTATTATTAATAATATTATAATGAGGCCAGGCATGGTGGTGCACGCCTGTAATCCCAGTGGCTCAGGAGGCTGAGTTAGGAGGATCACAAGTTCAAAGGCAGCCTCAGCAACAGCGAGGCACTTAGCAACTAAGTAAGACCCTGTCTCTAAATAAAATACAAAATAGGGCTGGGAATGTGGCTCCGTGGTTGAATGTCCCTGAGTTCAATCCCCAGTATACACACACACACACACACACACACACACACAGCTCAAATAATGAACACTGCTTTAGGGCTTTAAAATTGACCTAAAATGAGAGACAATGATTTTTCCAAGGCTAAATATATGGTTAACTCTAAGCAGACTATAGAAATATGTAAAAGCAGCATAATACAAGGAATGATCAATGAATATGAAACTAGGGAATTGGGTTTCTAGCTATGTAAAGCAATTCCAAGTTGTCATGCAAAAGAACTGTAATTGTACTTAATAATTTTTCTACCATTTCTCAAGTTCCCTAAACATTTTAAACTTATTTATTTGAATAAATAAGTAAATGTGAATTTAAAATTTAGTGATGTTCATTTACTGAGGAAGAAGAGTAGATATTGCAGTACAGAAAAAAGTTTTCACATAGCAGGTACTGTGGTGCATTCCTGTAATCCCAACAACTCAGGAGGCTGAGGAAGGAGGAAATAAAAAATAAAATGGGGTGGGGATGTAGCTCAGCGAAAAGCATGCCGGAGTTCCATCCCTAGTACCAAGAAAAAAGAAAAGGGAAGCTTTCATCCTTTTTTAAGTGGTATAACTATGGAAATTTGGTGGACATGGGAAAGGAAAACTAGCAACAAATATAAAATAGGTATTCAAACAAAAATAAACAAAAAATTAACAAGGAAAAGCAACTCTTCGTTGAAATGCAGAAATGAAATATGCTATCTTCTTTTGGAAATACCTGTTGCTGAAGATTCTCTCACTGATGTTTGCAAAGACTCCTTCATAGCCTTTATTTTATTCAGAAATGCCAGAGCCTCCTCATTTGAATCCTGTTGGGTGAACTCCACATTGGGCTGCGGTGAATACCCTGAAACAGGCAAGGATTTTCTGGGAGACACAGCCTCTTCCAGGCGTCTTCTTTCCTCGTTCAATTCAAGGCTTAAAATGCTGATGTCACTTTGCTCACTGAATTCTAGTTCAGATTCATGCTCTTCACTTATGTCTAACTCTGAACGTTCTTCTGAGGGTGCTGGAATATTGACAGTGTCAATAACCTCCTCATGTTCTTCTGGCTCAACCGTATTTTCAATATTAAACTCTTCCTCTTGATCAGACATTTTCCTATATCAAGAAAAATTAACACATTTACTACATATGTAGGAGTTTCTCCACCAAATATCAAACTCATTGCTAACATAGAGTGATGTTCATACTAACATGGTGTTCACGGCTGGGTGCGGTTGGGCACGCTAGGCTGACACAGGAGGATCAGGAATTCAAAACAGCCTTAGCAAAAGCAAGGCCCTAAACAACCCAGGGAGGCCCTGTCTCTAAATAAAATACAAAAATGAAAAAAATAAAAATTAAAAATTAAAAAAAATAATAAAATACAAAATAGGGCTGGGGATGTAGCTCAGTGGTAGAGCGCTTACCTAGCCTGTGTGAGGCACTGGGTTTCATCCCTGGCACCACAAAAAAAAATTTAAAAATAAATAAAATAAAATATGCCCCATGAAGCCATCTACAACTAAAAAAAAAATCTTAAAAATAAAATGGTGCTCATTTTTTAAAAAAAGTTGATCATTTTCTTAATGCCTGTCATTGGGCTAAAAACCTTGGTGAATTTTTACTTCAAAAACACCGCAGAAAAATTTTTTTAAATTATCACAAAAATAATCTCAAAACAATTTTAAGTAATATTCTGTAACAAGTATGTCGAAAATATAGTCTAAAATATCTTGCCATCTCTTCTTTTTCCAATAAAGAGTTCCCAGAGGGGGAAAAAAAAGGACTTTTTGCACTACTTCTTTTTCTGAATATAAAACTGATATGAGATTTATGCTTCTGGCTTACAAATGATTAGGTGCTTTGCTGGGAGCCATTAGCCAAGTAGGTATGACAATTTCCTTGCCAGCGTACCCCATGTTGCTTAGTGGAAGGACTCGTGGAAATAGGACATTTTGCAGTGACATTGCAGTTAGGTGACCTTGCTCAAGGACCAGGGCGGATCCGGGATTAGGGTGTTCCCGGTTTAGGATAATCGGGTTTAGGGCGTTCCAGGTTTAAGATTATTCCTGCTAGGAATAGGGCGTATCCTGCTGCCTGAGTTCCCCTTGAGTTCTCACGGGATTCAGACAGTATATTTTGGGAGATAGAAGCCCAGTGGAGGTGGATTTGGGCAGAGAACGTGGATTTCCCCAGAACGTGTTTGTAGACGGCTGGTGTGAGTTCGGGAATAAAGAGTTGCTGTTTGAATCTACAAGCTGTGTGGTGGCTCGTGATTGTGTGCCCAGCCAGACTGCGGCAGTGCTTCAAGGAACCTGGCAGCTCCAGAGCCACTGTATCCCACAGAGAATACACCCTGCATTAGCTCTGCTCTCACAAATCACAGCAGAAACAAACATCTTGACCAATCTAGACTGAGTTTGGAGTTGATTCCATCCAGAGTTACAGTAACTAAGAGCCTGGTTGTAGGAAACAATGTGACAGTATCTAAAAGCTTAGGCCAAATGAGTTGAGAGAATTCCAGAACCTGACTGCCAAAAGGAGAAGTTGGACAAGGAGCCAATATAGCAGGAGCCTACCTATAGAGGCTGGCAGCAAGGAGTGGAGGAGATCACAAGGGCCCTGAGGCTGCATTTCTATGGCAACAGCTGGGGGAAAATTAAACCTAGGAACCTTAGGGAAGTAGGAAAGATCTCTCTGGGGCTTCCATTCGAGCACAGATGTTTATGGAGGAAAAAAAAAATCACCCTTAGTCATTGGAGATATCTGGCTACTAGAGGACAAATTTTTTGAGCTGGAACATCTGAAAAATAAATAATCATTGAACTCAAAAAGTAAGCTATAAAGTATTAGAGAAAGTTGAAGAGAGAGTTAGCAAACTGGAAGATAAGATTTTATATCAAATACTGCAAAGAGATAAGGATATGGAAATAGGAGTGATTGTTATGGTTTGGATATGAGGTGTCCCTGAAAACCTCATGTGTGAGACAATGCAAGAAGGTTTGGAGGAGAAATGATTAGGTTATGGCCTTAACCTAATCAGTGAATTAATCCCTGATGGGATGAACTGAGTGGTAACTGGAGGCAAGTGAGGTATGGCTGAAGAAAGTGGTTTGTTGGGGTATGGCTATGGGGTATATATTTTGTATCTGGAGAGTGGAGACCTCTCTCTCTCTCTCTGCTTTCTAATCGCCATGTGAGCTGCTTCCCTCTGCCACATTCTTCCTCCATGGTGTCCTGCCTCACCTTAAGCCCTGAGGAATGGAGCCAGCCTTCTAAGGACTAAAACCTCTAAAACTGTGAGCCCTCACATAAACTTTTCCTCCTCTACAATTGTTCTGGCCAGATCATTTAGTCACAGCAGTGAAAAAGCTGACTGAAACTATGATTAAGAGCATGGAGAAGAGAAAAAGAAAGTCAAGCACATATGTTTTTGCTAAGCATACATTTTTCAGAGATCTGAGAGTAGTTTTGTATTGTTATAACAAAACAACCAAACAATAAAGAATATGCAACAGGACTAGGGTTATGGCTCAGAGGTACAGCGCTTGCCTAGCATACTTGAGGCACTGGGTTCGATCCTCAGCACTACATAAAGTAAAATAAAAATAAAAATAAAAAAGTATGCAACAGAGACTTAATATGCCCCATGAAGCCTAAAAATGCCCTGTTGAACCCTTTTCAGAAAAAGTTTGTCAGCCCCTGTTCTGGCACATGTCAAATTAGTTTTCTCATTAGAATGAGAAAACAGAATAATGGAAAAGAAATGTTTTAAAAGAAAATGACTGGGAATTTTTCACAAGTGATAGAAAGTATGAACCCACAGATCCATTTAGTACAACATAAATCTATACCTAATGTACCATGTACATTTTAAGAAATAAAAGAATACCAAAGATGAATATAAGGTCCTGAAAACAAACAGTTGTTTAAAAAAAAATGTATACACACACACACACACACACACACACACACACACATCACTTTAAATCATTTTAATTTGCTGATATTAATACTAAGAAAAGTAAAATGACCGCAAACTTCTCATTGGAAAAACAAAAGCAAAGGCAAAAAGTGTAATAATTTTAAAAACATAATAATCAACATAGAATTATGCACGCGGAATAATTATTTTTCAAGAAAGAAAATGGAAACATTTACAAATAAGTTACCACTAGGAACTTACTGGCTCTAGAGAAATTTTTTCAAGCATATACATGGAAAGAGAAAAAAATTTCCAAGGGAAATTGTTTTCCAAGTGCAAGAAGGAAAGGTGAAGACATAAAACCATAAATATGTAGACAAATACAAATACTGTCAACATAAAATAATAGTAGGGAATTAGAATAGTAGATAATAATATGCAATTGTAAGGGGAAAATCAGACTGTTCTCAATCCCTCTACTGTTTAAAAACTTTCACTGTGTACTTGAGATTTAGCCATGTATACTGGTTAAGTTATATATGTATAGCTAAATCTAAAATATAATAAATAAAAGAACAAAAATAAACTTCTGAAATTTCAAAACAACAAAGGGGTAGGAGGCAGTGGAATGAGAGGGGAAAAAATGAAAGGAATATCAAGAAAAAATTCAAGAAATTTCCTTAGGTTTTCAGCCACTGAACAATCCTCATATTTGTATACCAAGGAAATATACAAGGATGATTAAGAGACTATCATGAACAATTATACATTAACAAATTGAATAACCTAGAACCAATGGGTAAACTGCTAGAAACATATAACCTAACAAGACTTAATTATGAAGAAATAATGATTAAGGAGAGTGAATCAGTAATCAAAACATCTCTCAACAAAGAAAAGGAGAATTCTTCCACCAAACATTTAAAGAACTAATATTAATCTTTCTCAAACTCTTTCAGCAAAACTCATTTATGGGCCAACATTATACTGACAGCAAAGCCAGACAAGGACATTACAAGAAAAGATCACAGGAGCCGGGCACAGTGGCACACACCTGTAATCCCAGCGGCTCCGCAGTTTGAGGCAGTTTGTGGATCTCGAGTTCAAATCCAGCCTCAGCAATTTAGCGAGGTTCTAAGAAACTCAGTGAGGCCCTGCCTCTAAATAAAATACAAAAAAGGGCTCGGGGTGTGGCTCCGTGGTTGAGTGGCCCTGGGTTCAATCCTCAGTATGAAAAAAAAAAAAAATTCCTATGAACATAGATACAAAAATCCTCAACAAACTACATATTGAGCATACTTAAACCAATAATCCAAAATTGAAATCTGAAATATGACTAAACCTAAAACTCAAAACATTTTTTTCTCTGATTTAGGAGAATTTCAGATTTGGAGATTAAGGTAAAGGCTACTTATTGATAAAGCCCATGCAAATACCCACCTATCTAGAAGAACTCTGTAATTTCAAACACTTTCAGTCTCAGGAATTTTGAGAAAGGAATACTCAGTCTGTACCAGCAAACTGAATTTTAACAGCATATTAAAAGGAACATTCACCATGATCAAGAGGGATTTATTTCTGGAAGGCAAGGATGGTTCAACAAATCATTAAATATAACATGCATTTATTAACATATAACAGAATGAAGGACAGAAACCATAGTATCATCTCAACAAATGCCTAAGAGACATTTGACAGAATTTAACATCTTTTTATGATAAAAATTCTCAATAAATTAGGCATAGAATGAATGTATTTCAACAAAATAAAGGCCACATGTATAAAGCCCACAGCTAACATAACTCATGGTGAAGACCTGAAACCTTTCCCTCTGAGATCAGGAACACTATAAGGATACCCATTCCTGCTACCTCTGTCAACATGGTACTAGTTTTAGAGCAGTTAGCCAAGAAATCAAACAAAACAAAAGGCATCCAAATAGGGAAAGAAGTAGTGAAGTATTTTGTGTTTGCTTAGCATATGGGTTCAATCTCCAACACTGCTAAATAAATAAATAAATAAATAAATAAATAAATAAATAATAGATAGATAGATAGACAGACAGACAGATAGATTTGCCAAACCTTTGTCCCAGGGGAGGATACTGTGGTTATTATACTAGAATACAGGAAAAAGAATGATCTGCACTTTCTCTCTGTCAAAGCTATTCATTATAGAAATAGCTTT